TCGTCCAGTTGAAGCCAAAGCTGTTCCAACTCCCTTCTTCCCTTCCTCAAATCTGAATCTTTTGTGAACGTCAGTTTTTTCATTTCTTCAATTTTACTATCTTGGCGACCGATGTGAGCTGTCAGTTCCGTCAATTCGTTTTTCAGTGAGAAGCTGTCCTCTTCTAACATGCTACATTTCTCCCATGCTTTTTTCAGTTCTTTATCTTTTCCCTGAAGGTCACTTCTCATTAGGTGTAGTTCATTCTCTTTTTCTTTCAAGGAAGTTTCTCTCAACTCTAAATCACGCTTTAGGTCGAATATAGAAGATTCCAACTCCTGATTTTCCATGGCTTTCGTGTGAAAATCATTTTCTATTTGCTCCAGCTCATGACATTTTTTATGTAGTGAAGTGTTACTTAGCTCTAAATTCTGCTTCAGGTCGTCGATGGAAGATCCTAGATCTTTAGCTTCTATGTCTTTCCGCTGAAGTTTACTTCTCATTTTCCACAGGTCATTGTCTTTTTCTTTCAGTAAACAATTACTCCGCTCTCGCTCCTGCTTCAGGTAAACAATTGCAGATTCCAGATCAGCAATTTTCTTCTCTTTATCTTCGAGGTACTTCAGTTTAATTTGTTTACTATCCGGTTTATTCAGACCTTCAGGCTGGTTATCCCAAAGATCGTTTTGTGTTGTTCTCTCCTGACGTTCAAACCTTTCTAATTTTGTTTTTCTCTGAAGCTTTTCGATTTTCTTCAAATCTCTCTCTACTTTCGTTATTAGTACATTTGTTGCCACAACCATTTCAAAGTCTCTGTTTCCTGTTGACTTACACAGCAGCTCCGCGTACCTTTCAGTGTACTCTAAAGCCACACTCCTTTCTATTAACAATGTCTTTGTCTCTCCAATTCTTTTTGTGTTTCTGTGATATATTGCCTGGATGTACTGAGTAAGTCTGTTGACTCGCGAAGAGAAGTCTTTGAATTTGCCAACTCAATCTCTCGCTGATTTAATGTATCCTTTGTTCCTACCAATTGTTTGCTGATTTCTTCCAGTTGCCCTTGTAGATTTTCTGCATTTTTGTTGCAATCAGTTGGTAATCCTTGAAGTCTGTAGACCTCGCCCTCTTGATCCATCAATTGTTCCTCTGTATTTTTTCTCTCTTCATATAACTGCCTCTTCAACTCCTTGACCGTGTCATCTCTTTCATTTAGTCGCTTCTCGTTAATCTCTAAAGCATGCTTTTAAAAGTCTGTTTAAGTCATGAAACCTGTTCTCCAGCTTTTGGCTTTTTTGGTTTTTGTACGTAATCGCCGTTCGGCTCTCGTCTCTCTGTACGTTTATTATTTCCTTTTCTAAGACCTCCTTCAACTCTTTGATCACATCATCCAGAGACGCTTCTTTTTTAGGTTGAGTGAATTTATTTCCAGGACACTGTTTCTATAACCCTTCCAACTTGTCAATGTCGTACCATATTTCGTGCATGAAGTCCTGCTTGTTCACATCATTCTGTGAAGACTTAGCCAACAACTTGATGTTTTCTTCGTTGGAGACGACCCTTTTCTTTAATCTTTTGTAATGTACTCTACTTCCTCTCTTCCCTTGTATCTGGAAACGCTCGCTTGCGTTGCGAAGATGGCTAAGCTCATCTACTTGTACACTTAAAAGTTATTTCTCAAATTGCATACAAGTTGTATGGAAGTACATTTCTGCGTGAACTTCCTCCATTTTGAAGTTATCTTCTGATTTGGACAATTCTGAGGGATGTGTGAGCTTTTGCAACAATACCGAGTCATTACCCATCTTAGCATGCTCGGTAGCAATGGCCTTTAATTCCATTGCTTCAAAACTTGTTGTGTCACCTTCAGTGTGTTCTTTATCCCTATCGCTGACTGTTTCTTTTGCCGCGTATGCCACACAGCACAGCCTCGTTGAATCCTTTTCGGGTAGTCTGCCTTCTGATTCTTTACCATCGCTCGTTTCAGTCCAACTGCTGTCTTTACCAAGCTTATCTTCCAATTTCTCATACACTAAGCTTCCAGTGTTATTGAGGCCTTCATGTATGTCCATAATACTGGGTTGTTTCGTAACATGAAAGTCATCACTAAACTTTCTTCAGACCAGTTGTTCACGGATTTGTTCCGTCGTCTTCCACCAGAAGTCTGCATCAGTGTTCACTGTACTTTCAGCTTCTGGTTGATTACCAATGTCACTCCTTCTGCCCTTTGCGTTCTTTTTGGTTCCAGTTATACTTCGTGTAATCTCGTCTATAAGCTCATCAATATAACAGTTTTTCCTTATTTAACACAGCTTTTTTAAGACTTTCCACTCCATGTCCGTTTGTTAGAGGGAGGTCTTTAAGGCACTCTTGCTGTACTTCTTCCATTGCCTGTTCATTGTAGTAGTCTCCTTCATCCACCACTGTATATGCAGTTTGATATTTCTTAACCTGAGGAACCAAGACCACATTGGAAAAAGAGCTCTCTTCGTCAGGATAAGAATGGGTCTTGTCAAAGAAGGTCTCTGTACATGTGTGCCGTGGTAGCAGCTCTTCAATTTCTTCTGTCATGGGTGGAGACAATTCATTCTTCTCCAATTTAATTTCATGGTTTAGCATTGCTTCTGAAACAACGTCCTCCTCTCTTTTATGATTTTGATCTAAGATATCAATCTCCCTGGCAGCTTTAATTGGACTGGTGTTTCAGTCATTCTCGTAATACAGCAAGTCAGCTGTCAAATCGTATTCTTCGTGCTTTTTTGCTCTGGCAACCTGCATTTCAGAAGGAAATGTAACTGTTTTCGTTCCAATATCTAGTTGTTGCACAGCCTCAGCACTGTTGCTTTCCGCTGTGCTTGTCCTGGTTCTAGAACAAGGTTCTCCCTCGCAGTGTTTTGTTCTAGGATCTACATCAGCCTCTATACTGAGATTGTTCTTTTCCAAAATAGATACTTCTGGAATATCTTTCTCAATATCATTAAGCATATTCTTCAGATCATCTACGAACTCTTTAGAATAAGGATGCATGTTTACGTCTTTGAGACTAAGCGAGTCACTTTGAACTTTGTCCGGCAGTTTGTCGTCTGTGCCTTCAAAGCATGGTTCATCAAATTCTCGTGAACTAAATGGTACAGCAGCACGATCTAACGGCTCAACTCTACTTAAAATTCCTCCTTATTACTCGACATGAACTGCCCTTCATAAACACGAGTGAAGCTACAAAAAAAAGGTCGAGTGACCGAACAGAGAACGGCAAATGTACAAATGCCACGAACCGTAGTAGTCGTGTAGGCTAGTCAACCCATTTTACACGGTCCTTGGCGCGAACAAACATTTGATATATGAGGCTTTTGCTGTATCCTGTGGGCAACACCGCTAATACATCTTTTCCATCCAGAAGAGATTTTACTGCAACTTCTTGGTCCAGTTTTAACTTGAATTCAAACCCGTCCTATTGTCCGATTAACCAGTCAGAATTTTGCGGCCGCCAACGACCGCAGAAATGAACCAACGGGGGTCTTGATAGCAGGCGTTCCTTTTTCCCCTCCCCCACTCCTCCGTTTTTTTACCCCGAATTCTCTTCCTCCTCCCCACCCCCTCCCCTTTATACGCTAGACTTTCTAAAAGTCCTTTCCAATAATTCTTCCCTGGCCTGTTGGTTTCGCCGTTGGAAAGGACTTTTCCCACTTGCAGCGCGCCACATTTTACCGGTGGATTTTTCCACCGGTGACCTAAATACACATTAACCAATGAACAAACAAGTACTGACTATACGTCATGACGTCGCGCGCGATCACCGACACAACACTCAGAGCAAATGCCTGCTGAGTTCAAGTACTATAAAAATCTTTTTCATTTAGCTTTAGCTTTTGTTCTCGGATATACTTAAGGATATGAATTTTATGGACGCAATTGAATATGGTCTATCCAACTTAATTTCAAGTCTTCGAAAGAAGGCCAGGGAAAAGCAGTGGAAGGCTATTTATCCGACCAATACGTGTTTACTTAATACGGGCGCGATCTGAGCTCCTGCGTGATCCGGATCGTTTGAGAGAATTAAGTTTGGACCTTTCCAAGAAGAACAGAGCCGTTCTTGCAGTTTGTGTAATTGTTGCACTTTTAGTTGATTTAATGGATGACCAAGTTTCTTCTCTACAAAGAAAGGGCATCGCAGCAAATTTGCATCGGTCGTTTTACCGTGCTGAAAGCAGTCGTCGATCGATGAAGGACTTTTGGAAACAGCGCTTTTATTCTCTGCCGTTCGTTGCGACTTCGATTCTCAACGTTATTTAATCAAGAGAGCTTTACAGAATTAAAGTTCTCTCCGACTAATTCCGTCTTCTTTAGTTTATTCGGATTCTCGTCGATACAAGCTACAGTGTAGATCTACATAAGTTTATAGCATTTGTCAGGCAGCTCTCTGGTCGATAGTTGGTTAATCTAGACTAAAACAAATAATTCTCGATCGGTTTAAACACGGTTTTGTCTTTTTAGGAGGCGTTACTCAACGGAACAGCTTTCGCCGTTTGTCTGTTGGCTACATACTGCACTGTACACAAATTCATTTGAGTTAGGGAACAATACTCGTAAACGTTTTTATGGCAATCATTTTCTGCTTTCGCGACGATCATGCGCGGGGCACATGAGAAGTGTGTTGGGAATTGTATTCAGTGAGTTGTAGGCTCAAACTCCAAATAAACGAACTATTTAATGAACCAGCTACGTAATCCGGAACATACAATAAACGACGAATCACAATGGCTAAAAACGGTGAAGAAGCTAGACTCAAAACTCCAAAAACAGCGGCAAGGCTGGTCTAAAATCTTAAACACGGCAAGAAAATACAACAAAGATGAAAATCTGCAAAATTACGACAGCGAAGTTCAAATGTACGCGCGAGCACATTCTGAGCCACGATTGGCTAATTAAAATCACCTGAAGTTACGCGCGCGGACAAAAACTCATATTAAGGCGAGAGGGGTGATTTCAGAGTTCGTAAAGTTCAAAACATCTTCCCTCCTCGATCAGTGTTCATCATAGTCCTTCAGTTCGTCCAGACACTGATCGACTTGACGTCTCCTCATTTCTCCTTCAATGGCGGCTTGCCTCCTCTGTCTCTGTGGAGTGCAGGCAATTGGTCTAGCAGGCTCTTCTCCATCTGCAACACTAGTTTCGCGAACTTCTAACGGAAACAGTTTCTGTAGGGGTATCCTAAGACGCTTTCGCTTGCCATTGTTTGAGGCAACTTCTATCGTGGCTCTTCTTACGAGACCATCGTTTCCTGGATACACATCTAGAACCTTTCCAAGCTTCCACATTCCTCGGTTAGACGTTCCTTCTTCCATTACAGTGACAATGTCACCTGTCTCAACTGATGGCGAGTTGCTGGCAGCTCCCTTCTCTAATGCTCTGTGGTGTTCTCGCAGTTCTATCACGTACTCTCGTTTCCATCGACTCCAAAAGTGGGACAACAATGACGTTACCTAACACTGTCTCCTGGTGAGAATTTCAACATCACTTGACTCTTCTTCGGCGACTATAGATTCGTCAGGAATGGAAAATAATCTTCTTCCCGTCAACAAATGAGAGGGGGTAAGAGGCTCCACTCTATCCTCTGAAGACACGTATGTGGGTGGTCTGGAATTCAACACACATTCAATTTCTACGACAACAGTCAAGAGCTCTTCATATGTCAACTTGGCATTCTTTAAGATCTTCTTCAGACAGCGTTTAACACATCGAACCATGCGCTCAAAAAAACCACCCCACCACGGGGCTCGTTCTAAATTAAATTTCCACTTCACCTTGTGGTTTAGAAGAAAACTCTGCACTTCCGGCAGCTCAAAAATGGATGACAAGAATCTTGCAGCAGTCTTAAATGTCTTGGCATTGTTTGACACAACCAATCTTGGTATTCCTCGTCTGCAAATGAAACGTTTGAAACTTCTTATGAATGTTTCTGCGC